GGAGGCCCGCTGAGCACGAACTGTCTCTGGCTCTGCCTGACTATATCGGTCCTGTTCGGAACCTGGGGGGTGGCCCTTACCCCGTGATAATTGCTGTAACTCGACCTCGCGCTCGCCGGCCGATTGTTGTAAATGTCATCCAAATCCTCCCCGTTCAAGCTCTGGGTGCTCGTCTGCTGGAAGGTGGGGTTGCTCTGGCCCTGCCACTGCATCGGGCTCAACTCGCCCGGCTGCCAATTGTCGGTCAGGTTTCTGGTCGAGCTGTTCGCGTCCCAATTGGGATAAGTCTGGCCAGCGGCCGTGTAATCGTTGCCGCTCCCAGAGTTCGAGTAATTGTTCGACGAATCCTGTTGGCTCGAAGGGTGCTGCTGCTGGTGGTGGTGGTGGTGGTGGTGGTGGTGAGAATGAGAATGATGAGGATGAGGATGATGNTATTGTTCCACAGCGCGGGGGAGGAGACGGCCATGTTGACAGCTTCCGGCTGCCAGTTCGAGTTCCTGTCCCTGTCCCAACTCATCGAGATACGGTCGTAGTTGAGAGTGCCCTGGGACAACGAGTTCACGTTCTGATTCGTGAGATTGCTGGCGGTCGTGTTCGCGTACAGGCTCTCCTGGTGGTCCATTATCCTGTTCACGGGATTCTTCCTGCGCGACTGCCTCACCGAGCTCCTCCTGCTCGACCTCCTCGTCCCGTCGCGCGAGATCACGGACCTCCTCTTCACTCTTCGAGGCGTCATCGGCTTTGGGGACACGCTGTCGTCGTGGATCGCCGGTTCTGGCTGCGAGTACTCGATGCTGTACAACGGCCTCGGCTGCTTCTTCTTCCGTTTAGCTTGGGCTGCGTTCGAGACAAAAAACGAAGGCCCAGTTAGCACAGGATTTTAACGGAAGGGGGGGGGGAGGGTGTAAGATCGAGTTTGTGCTTGGACATCGATCGTCAAATGATTCGTTCGTTCGGTTGGCGCGTGAAAATTGGGATAAAAATATATTTTTATTCGTGTTTCGTCCGAATTTGTAATTTAGATTATTTATTTTTTATACCATGTTTCATTCGCGTGTTTGTCCAAGCACAAACCGTGAAGATGAGATTGGACGCTTTTTTGAGTCGAGTGGTGTAAACTGTTAAAAGATCGATAAAAGATAGTGTTATTTAATATTAATGTAAATCCTCAGTTGTACAAGAGAAAATCGATCGAAGCGATCGAATTCTTACATGCATGGAAGAAAGAACGAAATTTTCCGAATTTCGATGAATATTAATTTTTTTTTTTTTTTTTTTTTTTAATTCCTAACTCGATAACAACGATTTTTTATTCTCGATAATTTGATCAACCATATACCTCTCGACGAAATTTACCGTTTAACGTTTAATTCGATTCGAATTAAGAGAAGAAGTATTAATTGAGAGACAAAAAACACTGAAAATAATAATAATAATAATAATAATAATAAAAAAAGTAGTTGCCCGAAAAATTCCATAAAAGAATACCAGGAGGAGAATTAGTTAGAGAGAGAAGGAGTGAAAGAAAAGAATGGGGGTTAATAAATAAAAAAGCAAGCAAGTAGTAGGCATTGCACGTTTATTGTCGCCAATGAACTGCACCAAATAAGGTAAATTATATATGATACAGTAAAATAAAT